TTGGGAAAAAGCCCTTGGAAATGGCAAGACAAGGGATTTTTTTCCAGATTCTTCTTAAAATCCTTTCATTTTCTCCCCCATGGCCACGGAGCTTAATATTACCTCTATCATGTGGGATTCTTTGTCAAGATCAATTAGATTAACTGTCACGAGCCATCGGCTCCTATGTTGTCCATCAACAATCATACTATCAAAACCTGATTTAATTAATAATTAGATAAAACTAAATAGTAAACAACAAAACTTTATAGAATCAAATTCAAAATCAATACTATTAGTTCAACTTTAGTTGTTTTTTTAGGTTTTTGGTTTAGTACTATGTCAATTTTTAATTTATCTCTTTCAATTGATTTTTAATTTAAAAATAAATTGAATTTAAAAAACCTCTCGTTTCGAAAAATTTTGGATTTCCTTTACGATCGAAAAATACGGTTCGAAGAGTCGCCACCAACCTTTGATTAGGGTGTGATTGGGCACCCAAAAACGTTTTGTCATTTTAAATAAAAATTAATTTTAATTAAAACAACAAATTGATGTCTGCGTTACCAAAAAAATAAGTTCGGGAGTCGGTTACGTGTGGGGAAGGATTAGCACCCCCACAACGCCCTAAATCGGTACCTAGTCGATTAATTAATATCTTTGTATTGAACTTGACAAATTCGAACTTGATTTGATTTATAATCCCGAAAAAATGCGAATTTTACAATGAAATGTAGTAATATTAAATTATTTCATATCGAGAAGGAATAATTTATCAATAATTGAGAAAATTAATTCCTACTCAAATCAAAATAATATAATATTAAAATTTCATTATAATATTCAAATGCACCCAAATAAATTTAATTAAAATTACCAAGTCGTTTTAGAAAGATAAAGAATGTTCAATTATTTACAAATATCGAGACCAGATCTTAAAAGTTATAACAACATTTTCTCGATAAATTTAAAAAACGAACATTTCTTTTTCTTTCGTTCCCAAATTTTAGGTGTCGAATCGATTTTTTAGTTTCACTTTTGGGATACACTTTTAATTTAAAATCGTCAAAACGACCCTCTAATCAGTTAAGACAGGCCACTCAACACAATTTTAAATTAAAAAGGTATTACCCTTAGTCCGATTATGTAATAGGTCGAGTTATGCACATGAGGGTATCATACAAATTATGCAGAAAAAGATGTCATGCCAAAATTCATTAAACAAAATTAAAAATAGCATACAATGTGACATACAAAAAAAATACATACATATATTTTAATTAAAAATCATAAACCGTGCATATTAACATATAATGTGCAAATGTGACTTAGATATGAAAATAAATAACATAACATACCAAATTATAAATTTTAAAAAATATATATATACATAAATGTAATGATTAAATTTAAATAAATATAAAATTTAATATACAAATCAAAAATTAAACCATGGACTTAAATAAAACATGCATAATTTTAAGGGATCTACACCTAAATATTTCGACAAAATTATAACTAATATTAAAATTGGAAAATGATGAAATCTGTACAAACAAAAAAGGGTCAAATTCGAAAATTAATCCCTCGGGTGACTAATTTACAAAAGACGCTTAAGCTTTGGGGACTAGGAATTAATTCACCCTAAACATTTAATATGAAACCTAAATGTAAACTAACCTACATGGACACTAACTCACGCAAAACCCAAACTATTTAATATAAATCCTAAACAAATTAAACCTAAACTAAATTAAATATAAACAAATTTAACCTAATGCGTGGAACATGCACAGTGCTCCCATCTTCCTCTCCATTCTTCTCTTTCTCGGCCACACACAGCGCCACTTAACCCTAGACCAGATGCCATGGCCATCTTCTCTAAAACTCAACAAACAGAACCCTAAGCACTTAACAACCAACCTAAACGACCTAGAACCTCGACCCCAAAACCCACATGCAAACACTCAGTTGGCCTAAGAACGCGACCCCCGACGCTTGGCCAAGGTAAGTTCTTTCTCTCTCGCCTTTTACTATTCTGGGTTATCTTTCAAATGGTTCTTGTTTTAATCTTCTCTCAAAATTTTAATCGATTGATTTTTGGGCATTCTCACTTTCATGGCAACGAAACTTTGATGATTCTTTCTCTAGGCTTCGAATCACTCCTAAACACTGCCCCGTTGTGCTACATACGCTAAACTCCGAGACCCTTTCAGATTTTAATTTTAAAAACAATCACACATGCATAAAACAAGAGAAACGAACTGGAAAATTAAGAAAATTGGAGAAGAACTCATAGGAAACTTGTACCTTTATTGCTTTATCTACTTTTGAATTGTATGATTACACTGTGATTTCCTTTCGTATTCTCTCAACACTGCGAAATTGTTGATAGTTAATCCAATTTTCCGCTTCTCGTCCTCTCGTGATGGTTGATATCTCCCTTGGCTAATACCTCTATTGGCTCGTATCTCTTTTTTTTTTGTTTTTTTTTTTTCTGTCCTTGTTCTCTCTGTCTCTCCAATGTTTTCTCATATCCCCCCTTCTATATGTATGGTGGTTAATACATAAAACCCGACCCTCACTTCCACTTTGCTTTGGTTAACTCCCAATAACCGCCTTTTTAGTTTTTTAGGATTTCACGTGGACTGGGCTTGATCATTGGATTGGGCCTCTAACTGCTCTGCTTCGAGTCTGCTCCGACTTAGTCCCGGACAAATCGAGTATCTACACACTCCACAACTGAAAAAGATAAGGTAACATACTTTATAATATGCTAAATAGTTTTATATCATGTATTCTAGGTACTCATTAAACGAATATATTGTATGTGTTTGTGCGAGTGCATGCATAGAAACAACTAAGACGGTGCATGCAAGTGTTGATTGAATCTAAAATATCCACTAAACATGATATTCAACCGTATAGAAACATATACCGTCATATGTGAAGGATCAAAATGGATAAATAAAATCAATGGTGTGGTTCAATTGGTAAGTAGTTTAATATCTTTGAAATAAATTGAGTTCGAGTCATTGTGTATGCAAAAAAATTTTGCTGGAAGACTCATATATTAAAATTAGGTATGTGATACAGATCGATCCGAATTTATCAAAACAAAATCACGTGAAACCGAGATATCAACAAATAAAATGGATAAATAAAGGTAAGATCAAACTAATTAAAAAAAATTAGCGTGCAATTCAATCAAGATTTCGTTAAACCCTCTCCTCAAGTCGTACCAGCATGTGCAATCTTGTGCTGTGCCTACTGCGTCCAACTGTTGTTATTTGGACCAAACTACATACATTAATACTTCGTCATATATATATATATATATGAAACTCTGGCATTCACACGCATATACATAGTTATGATTCACTTACATAATATAAAACATATTTAATTTTATATAGATATAGAATCGTTAATGAATAAAAATAAAAAAGTTGAAATTAATTCATTTTTTAAAATTATTATCTTTTTATTTCTTATTGTTAATCTCAATTGTCTATTTAATTTTTTATTTTTTTTAAATTATTATCTTCCTATTTCTTATTGTTAATCTCAGTTGTCTATTTAATTTTATTCTTCCAACAATATTTTATTTTTCACTGTAAATCTTAATCGTCTATTTTTATTAATCTAACAATCTTAAATACATACAAAACTAAAAAAAAAATATTAGATTTTGTATTTTATATATATATATATAAGACCGTCCAAATCTTATACGGTGCGAAGATCCCAAGAAGTTTTAGCGGTTGTTTTTCCAATACTTGCTTTCGGAATGAAACTCTTTTTGTTTTCTCGGGATTGTTTGTTATTTTCCTTTTCAATAAATTAGCTCCTTAGAACGTAGCCCCTTTCTCCAAGTTTATGTGCAGCGCGTGCAAAGTTTAAATATTCATTAAACATGACAAGTTGTATTAAACCTAATCTTTCCGGTTTCCATGCATGCTAATTATTATTTTTTATATTAAACATATGTGTTATCTCTTTTGTAAAGGTTATCTTCTGTAAATTATGTATTGGTGTATGGTATCTTTTCCAATATATTTTTGCTACTAATTATATTATACTTTAATGTTTAAATGAAGTTCATATTAGTGAATGTGTCAATTTTAAACTTTTTTATAAAATATAAATAATTTATAGAGCAAGTGGTTAAAAGCTTTCAGTTCATATCTCATCTCTTTCTTAAATTATGTGTTCAATGCCCATTAGGAGTAAAATTCTCCTTGAACACATGTTTTATCTTTCATAAAAATCTAGTAACTATCAATCATCTCTTTTCTCTATTCGAACATAGACAAAATATTGATATAAACATGAAGATTGAGAGAATCAATTTAATAGATTGTTCCGCGAACGATTCTGAATGCATTGACAAACTTTCGTAAAAAGGATATAACTATATAAGACCGTTGACCTTTTCTAATCAGAAGATGTATCGTGATGAAAGCAACACAAAACGTTAAACTATCATAATGATAGACAAAATTATGCCATGAAAAAAAATAACACTTCAATGATATGAGAAAAAAAGATAAGTTAAAACGAGAGAATACTTATTTAGATCTAAATCAAAAGAAAATCAAGTTAATTGACTTAGAAAAATACTCAATGAAATCATATTATAAATTACCCAATGCGAGGAATAGAGTTAAAGTTAAGCCACGCCCACGCTCCCTTAGGGCATGTGGAGCAAAGAAGGGCCCTCAGGTTAAAGCATTCATTAAAATAATACAAATCATAGTCTCATTCCTTAGACTTGCTTTTTACGCAAGCTTTAACCGTCTCCGGCGGCGTAGTGACCGGCCGTCAACTGCCACTCACAATTCCCCTAGCACCCCCACCCGTTGAAACTCTTCTTTCCATATTTATTCTCCTCTTCAAAATGATTGCTTCCATCTTTCTCCATATATGTATATATATATGTACGCACACGTTAACATTACGGAGAGTTTTAGAGGAGAAAAAAAAACCTAAGTGGAAAGCTTCCTAGTTGATCATCGAGATTTTGGTACTAAACGATGGGTTCATCGAACGGCGGTGTGCCTCCGGGGTTCAGGTTCCATCCAACGGAGGAAGAGCTCCTTCACTACTACTTGACCAAAAAGGTGTCGTTTCAGAAGTTCGACATGGAGGTCATTAGAGAAGTGGACTTGAACAAGATGGAACCTTGGGAGTTGCAAGGTGAAGTGTTTTTTCCCCACTTTGCTTGAGATTTTATAGTTTTGTTCGTTATGTCATTTATATTCATCCAAAATTCGATCTCAATAGTTAAATAATATTTTTATTTCTTGAGGTTACGAATTCGAACACGACATCTATAGTGGTATTTGAATATTTATTGTAAAAAAATTTGAATTATAATCGAAAAGTTTTCTACAAAATTTGTTTTCCCTACTCTATACTGATCTCAGTTTTAATGTTTCATGCCCTATTATTTTTCTAGAAATTTTTTCATAGTTTCTCTGATAGAAGGTTTGGAGAAAAATGTTTATAAGGAGAAGTTTGAATAATTACCATCATTCTTATTTATATTTATTACCTAAAAAACCAAACAATTATTTGTGTTGCGAAATACTGCTTTTTATAATCTCATGCTATGAAGATCTGCCAAAAGTTGCACTATGATATTTGAATCCAATAATATTTAATACATAAGAGTATACAAATTAAACAAAAAAAGGGTAATCAGCTTCAGTTTTGAAAACATTACTCACACTTGTATTTTGATTTAGAAAGAAGAGGTTCTATTTTATTATTTAGGGTAAATAGATGAAAAATGAGAATATACAAATGATCACATTATTGTTCCGTTTAGTGCACGGTGTTGAAACTGAGACACCGAACATTTTCTACAATTAATGCAAAGAGTCCTGATAAATTTGTAGACTTGCAGAGTAATTAAAGCCGTTACATGAAAACTAAGTTAAAGCACTTAAATCTTAGTATTTGTATTTCTTTTTCGATTATTTCAACCTATGAATTATTGTGTATGTATATACAGAGAGGTGTAGGATAGGATCAAGTCTGCAGAACGAGTGGTACTTTTTCAGTCACAAGGACCGTAAATACCCAACAGGATCCAGGACGAATAGGGCAACCAATGCTGGGTTTTGGAAGGCGACGGGGAGGGACAAGTGCATTCGTAACAGCTACAAGAAGATAGGTATGAGGAAAACCCTTGTTTTCTACCGAGGAAGAGCTCCCCATGGCCAAAAGACCGATTGGATCATGCATGAATACCGGCTCGAAGATGGCGACGATCTCCAAGGAAATCACGTGGTTAGTATAATCTCTCTCATGCACCTATACAAGTTAAGTTATGGTTTTAATTTCTCTATTGTGCTTAAATTGAGATTTTTGCATGCATGTGTAGGAAGATGGGTGGGTGGTTTGCAGGGTGTTCAAGAAGAAAAACCTCTTCAAAGTTGGCAACAACATCAACTCATTGGATCAACAGCTGAACGTTAACAGCACCACCACTTCAAGCGGCAGCCAAACTCAACCACTTCCTTTCATGCATGGATCAAGCGACCAATACAACCTCAGCAGCACCATTCAACAGAGCTTGGAACTAAAAAAGGCCGAGCTAGCCCTTCACTATCCTCCTCCTCATCATCACATGCCGACACCTACACCTCAGTGTCATCTTTTCCATACTCAAACCATAGTGCCGACGGGAAAAGTGGCTATCGGCTATACGGAGTATGCATCGCCGGTGGGTCTCCCGTCGGAGTCACATCATCAGCCGATAATGATCAAACAACTGATGGGGAACCATAGGGAATGTGAGAGTGGGAGTGAGAATGTGAGGTACCAAGCTTGTGAGACGGGCATAGAAGGTGTTGGTGGTGGAAGAGACGATGAGAACCAGGGGATGAACGAATGGGGCATGCTGGACGGCCTGGTGACATCTCATATAGGATTAGGTCAAGATTCTAACAAAGTGGTGAGGTTTGAAGACGGTGCCGCTACGAATGGGACCTCAGTGCACCCAATCAACCAACTTTCACTTAGAGGAGAAATGGATTTTTGGGGCTATGGGAAATAGTTTAATTTGATTGTCACTGAACTACTTCATATATTCATGGTAAACTATATATGTTTTTTTCCTGGGAGTTCCACTATTGTTACTATTTGCAAGAAACAGTGCTGGAATATATTGTGTTCATTTAAATTATGTTTCTAATTATATTTTAAAAAATCAACTATTTATTACAAGTATCATTCATGATTGATTGCACTTAGTTTATTATTTAGTTATGACGTGTGTGAGTTGTAATAAATAGTTTATTATTCCGTACAATCGTATTTTTTTAATAAAAAACGATTAATTGTAATTGATGGGTTTTATAATGAATGTAATCTTCTATATTTATCTTTTACGTACACTTGTTTGAAGTTTTGATTGCTTGTAAATTATGAAAACCTTAAAAGTGTTTTTTAGTACTAGTTTTCTCTCCAATTTTGTGTCGCTCGTACTCTTTTTTTATTTTGGTTGATAGAGACATTAGTTTGTGTTGTTTGCCGAGCGGTTTTTTTTCCTTTATTTTTCTATACATTATATATATATATTTAGTTTTAATAACTTTGTTCTTACTATACGAATTTTTCTTTCTTTATAGTACATTTTTCTTTGTCTTTTATATATATTTTAATTTTTTTTATCAGTTGTTTGATTGTTTTCTTCATTTAATTTTTTAAGGATTGAATTTGACATGTCTCAACTGATTAAGATGTTTTTTATCATCTTGTTGATCTTCTATGCTTTTGGATCTTAGAATTAAATTTAAATATGTGATTTGCATTCGGAGATAGTTTTAAAGTGTAGTGAATGAATCCGAAAGTTCAAAGTTTCAATTCTCCAGCCTAGACATACTATTGTACCATATGACTTACATTTTAATCGTGGCTGCTGCACCTTCCCGACTGTTTGTCGCTTCACCCATCTCTTCTACCTTAATCGAGAACTTGATCCCCAAAATCAATTCGCGTTCAATTTTTTAGGAAGAATGTTTTTTTTTTGCTCAGCAATAAAGATTATTTCATTATAAAGGAAACAAATCCTCAACTTCAAGCCTCATTAAAAAAAACCCTAATCCTAAATGGGGGAAAAGAGTGCTACAAAGTTGAGGAAAAAAGCCAGAATACAGACATGAAAAAACACAAAGTGATGGAAAACCACGCCAAAAACCAAAGGAACCCCACTCTAACAAGAATAAAATGCAGCATCACGAAACTAAAGCCTTCACAGAACCGCCTAAAAATAAAGCCACCCAAGTAGCCAGGAAACCAAACAAAACAACCGAACCAGGTATACAATAAACACAACAAAAATAATCCATTGTAATTGAATCACCAACTTGCCTTGAACATAACTTTTCTCATCGATCCCATCTTTGCCAAATAATCTGCCAAATTATTAGTAGTCCTCGGCGAAAACACAAACTTGATTTCACTTAACTTCAATACATATGCATCCATTTGCTGAAAAGTTGCTCCCCATCTCCATGGACGAGCAGAAGCGTTTTGAACCCAATTCAGCACTACTTTAGAATCAGACTCAACCACCAGAGCAGCTTTACCTCGCCAGCAGGAATCGGCGAACACTTCTAAAGCAATTTTGATTACTACGAGCTCCGCGAAATCTGAATTTACCTCTAATACTGGCCCAAAGAACATTGCTATTATATGTCTATTAGTTGTCCTCAAAACTCCCCCACAACCTGCCGACTTGCTCGACGCAGAGCCATCCACAATAAACTTCAACTGACCCGATACAGGCGGGAGCCAAACATTCAAGGAACTTTGCAATGCGCTAGCACCAGCTGATTTCCCTGGCCAGTCACACCATCAATTCTCATCTAAAACACTGAATTCCTTCAATGCCTTACACCAAGCGAAAGCTCTCATTTTTACATATATCATCAGGTCTTTAAGTTTATTGCCTTTATTCCTAAAAACAAAATCATTCCTGGCCAGCCATATACTCCATAGCGCCACTGCAAAGCTAACAAACCAAGCCAAGGCAATCGATCCTGACCATCTGAACTGATAACAAAACTCAAAAGCTTCATCCACTGACTGTAAGTTAAAACCTGGGATATGCCACCACCTGCAAAAGGCGTTACAAAAACAGATCATAAAGAAACAAGACACAAACAAATGGTTCGCCTCCTCTTCAGCATCTCCACACCAAGGACAAAAACGCTGAGCATCGGGCAACTTAATCCCTCTTTTTATAAGGAATGCCTTAGTTGACACTCTGTTCAATTTAAGCATCCAAAGGAAATATTTCACCTTGGGGAGAACTTTTAAACTCCATATTTTGTCGAAGTTGAACGTGCCTACACCATCGAAATTCCCATCACTAAGTAATAGCTCAGTCAATTTCTTGACCTTGAACAGACCATCAACTTCATGCACCCATACAATCCGATCGGCCACAGACAAATTTAAACTCACTTTATCCATTTCTCGTTTTATATATCGTACGGTAATTAATTCCCTATCCAGCAAGTGTCTTTCGAACAGAGCAGTAGTATCTAGACTATGCCAAACACCTGCGGACACCATATCTCTCACCGTAATATATTTCCTCGACGCAAGCCTGTAAATTCGAGGATATCTTGATCTTAAAGCACTTTCTCCAAACCACACATCCTCCCAAAACAAAGCTGATTTCCCATCGCCCACTAACCATCGAAATGAGTCTCCACTCATCCATTTAGTTGTTCCTCCACTAGACAAATTATTAACGATCTCTCTCCATGTTATAGAAGCTTTTTTGATATCTTCATGACAAACCAACCAAGGCAGATCCCCTGAACCGTATTTATGACATATAACTGATCTCCATAAAGCCCCTCTTTCGATTACGAATCTCCACCCCCACTTAGCTAGTAACGCCTTATTTTTTGCTTTAAGGTTGATTATTCCAGCCTCTCTTTTCTTTTTCGGCAAACACAACCTGCCCCAATTCACCCTTGGCAATCTCCTCGTGTTACCGTCGAAACCCCACAAAAAACCTCTCCTAATTTTATCAATTCTAGATACTACTGTTTTGGGAACGGGGAATATCGACATATAGTACAACGGAAATATAGACAACACTGAATTGATAAGAACCACTCTCCCGACAAAAGATAACATCTTGTTTTTCCAGCCCACTAATTTAACTTTGAATTTTTCAATAACAAGTTCCCACATCGATGTTCTCCTTGGATCAGCTCCTAATGGAATTCCTAAATATTTAAACGGAAACGAGCTCACCATACATCCAACCAAAAGAGCAAACTGATTCAGATTATCTTCATCAACTTTCACCCATGCTAAACATGACTTCCTAAAATTAATGCTTAACCCCGAACCCATTTCAAAGCATATCAGAATTCTCTTAACATTGGAAAGGCCACTCTGATCTGGACGAATGAAAAGAATCGTGTAATCCGCGAATTGTAGGTGTGAAATGCTTGTATTCGATACCACATTATCAATACCATCAAAGAAACCTTTACGGACAACTCCTTCAAGCAATAAGTGAAGAACCTCTGTTATCATTATAAACAAAAGAGGGGACAACGGATCTCTATGTCTTAAACCTCTATGCATTTTGAATTCTTTTGTGGGGGACCCATTTAATAAAACCGAAACTCTAACTATCGAAATGCATTCCCAAATCCATCGTCTCCATTTGCTCCCAAAACCCATACAATGCTGCATAGAATCTAAAAACTCCCAATTAACACAATCTTATGCCTTTGCAAAGTCTAATTTTAGTATCAATCCACCTCTCCCACCCCTCTCTTTATTCAAAGAGTGAATAACTTCATTTGCAACTAAAATGACATCGAAGATCTGCCTTCCAGCTATAAAAGCGCATTGAGTCTCGCTAATCACTTTTCCAATCACCTCTCTTAATCTGCTTGCTAACACTTTAGCAATTATTTTATACAAATTGCTTACTAGCGAGATTGGTCTATATTCTGAAATTTCAGTTGGAATGTCCACCTTCAGAATCAATGCTAAAAAGGATGAATTGGCATTCTTCCCCAATTTCCCATTCATATAGAAGTTGTACATTGTCTTCATCAGGTCGGCTTTTACCCATTCCTATGATTTCTTAAAAAATAGTATATTGAAACCATCCGGGCCCGGTGCTTTGGCCTCCCCACAACTCCACACTGCATCTTTAACCTCTTCAATCACGAAAGGTGCTTCCAACCCTTTTACCTCAACCCTAGATAGTTATTTGAACGGAAGATTAATCTCTGTTTTCCACTCCGTCTTCTTTCATCTGAAATAATTGCTAAAGAAATTAAAAACTTTGGCTCTAAGTTTTTCCGGTTCGAAATCACTAGCCACTCCCAAATTAGCTCCAATAATCAAGCGTTTTTTACTACGAATCTTAACTGCTCTGTGAAAAAAAAGCTGAATTTTCATCACCCAGTTTCAGCCAGGTCAATCTGGATTTCTGTCGCCATATGTCCTCCTTCTCCTTCAAAAGATCCCATAGCCTCCTTGTGCAATTCAGAACCTCCTCCCTATCTCTTTCGTCTAAATCATTCGCTTCATCTTTCTTATCTAGCTCGAATATCATTTTTTCATCAAATTAGCTTCATTATCGACATTCCAGTAGCACTGCTTGTTCCATTTCTGAAGAGCTCATTTCAATCTTCTTAATTTCACACTTAAATCTTCATCACGATCACCTTCATGCTGCAAAGCATTCTTAATAATCTCAGTGCAACTCTCCTACTGTAACCGTCTGTTAATCAATTTAAACGGTCTAAGCCCCCAATCTATCATCTCCTTCCCTAATAATATAGAGATATGATCTGAAATAGTTCTCGGTAAACAAAATAGAGAGGCATCACTATTGTCATAAAACCATTCATCCTCAACAAAAATTCTATCTAGCCGACTTTTTCTATTTCTCGGCCCGAACCAAGTGAATTTTCTCCCAGATAAGGGCATATCAAAAAGATTACAATCTTCTATGAACGTATTAAACACTGTAATCTCCTTTTGTCTGTAGGAGCACCCGCTTCTCTCACTGTGATTTCGTATTGCATTAAAATCGCCTGCCATAAACCATCTATTGTTG